TTCCGAAGGGTTTTTCTAAATCATGTCGAGATCTCTGGTGAATCGCGTTGCTCCATATTTGATTGGTCGTGTTAGAGAAAATCATCGGATGCTTAATTTTTCTTCCGTTTCTGTTCTCAAAGAAGCTACTTCGTCGCCTTCTTCTTCGCAATCTGATTCTTCTTCTCTCGATGTTGTTCATCTCAGCGAGAATTGTATACGGGTATGTATGGCTTCTGCTTCTTTTTTTTTGAATTCTTCTCTCGGTAAATTCGATAACTAGGTTTTTTTTTTAAAAATTGGGGTCTGTTTGATTTTGATGAAAGTTGTACAATTTAGTAATTATTGAGTTTGGTCTGCAGAAATGGAATATATGATACTCTAAATCGCTTGAATTGAACACATAACAATGATATGAAGCATCGATTTCTTTTAAGTTTGAGAATTTATTGCTATGTTGCATATGTGATCTATGAACATGAAGTTAAACATCTACCATGTTGTTCTCAAAGCTCTGAAATTTTTGCCTTTTGTAAGATTGCCATGGCTAAAAACATTTTCGATGATTCGACTTAACTATTTGGATTGTTGGAGCAGACAGCGTTTGTTGTTTTGTATCTTCTCTTGACCTTTGTGAGTTATTATTTTGTAGAGAATGAAAGAGTTGCAGTCTAGTGAGCCTGAAAAGAAACTGCTTCGATTGGGCGTAGAAACGGGAGGATGTTCTGGTTTCCAGTATGTGTTTGAGCTTGATAATAGTACCAATCCTGATGACAGGTACTTTGCTCACCCCAAGCCTTACTATTACTATTCTTTCCCTCGAGCTAGAAGAATCACTATTCTCCGTGTCTCAATTATAGCCCTTCTTAAACATTTCAGGGTTTTCGAGAAGAATGGTGTGAAATTGGTTGTAGATAGTGTTTCGTATGACTTTGTGAAAGGTGCTACGATTGATTACGTGGAGGAACTGATCCGTTCTGCTTTCGTGGTAAAGTCCTCTCTTTTCATCTTTCAAGACTTATAATCTCGATAGTTATCACTTCACACTTTTCTTTTTCTTCATTGCTTATATGGTCTATGGAAGCATTCTTGTATGTTTGGCCTGACCTGATTGGAGTCCATAAACCTAAAATCCTTTACTACCATTTGTAGCATGCTTTCTTGTTCCCTGTGTTACTATATTGAAAGATTTCGAGAACCATTTTCAAGATTTTTCATTTGATTTCTAATGCTTGCTTTGTGTGTGTGTGTTCAGGTAGCTGAAAACCCAGCCGCGGTGGGTGGATGCAGTTGTAAAAGCTCCTTCATGGTGAAACAGTGAATCGTTGAATCATTCTTCTTTACGTTAGTAGAAACCAAGTTTGATTATTTTTGATATTTTACATGTATAATGCCAGAAGTTTTTGCTATGTATCAAAAGTCATTATAAATCTCTGTAGGCTTCTGTAGCTCAACAAATGATTTGTTCATCCTATTTATAAACACAATAATTGAATGGTTTACACAAAGAGGAATGTTTGTATCTTCTCTTTATATATATAATAACTGTTGATCTCTATCTGCTCTAGATCATACTTCATATAGTTCTCAAATCACAAGTCCAGCTGATGAAAGTGAGTCCTTGTGAGTATTTAACAGCGAAGATCGACTTAACTCCTTAAGCTTTCCCTTGTCCAACAAGAACACTCTCTGCGCCATCATCACTGTCTCCAGTCTGTGTGCAATCACAATTACCTGTGGAAAATGCAAACATCAGAGACATGGAACCATGAAGTTTATGAATAGTTTCGGTGATGATTCACTGGAGAGGTTGTTTTGAACGGAAGAGCTGAGATGTGTGTTGTTACCGTATGGTCTTCCATTACACGTTCAAGAGCTTGTCTGACTAGCAACTCCGACATACTATCCAATGCTGACGTTGCTTCATCCAAAATCAGTATGGAAGAGTTCTGGTAGAGCGCTCTTGCGATAGCTAGTCTGCACATTTGCCAATGATAACAAGACGATAAGCAATTCAAATTACCAAACCCTGGAGAGAATATATGAAACTGGTTTGGATCACTTCGAGACTTACCTTTGCTTTTGGCCTCCGCTTAGGCTTGAACCTCTGGGACCAATTCCTGTGTTGTATCCCTCTGGTAGATTTCTGATAAATTCATCAGCATTTGCAGTTTTTGCAGCAAGCTCAACTCTCTTCATGTCAATTCCTGTGGTGAGATCTCTGTACCCAATGTTTTCAGCAACTGTCCCCGTAAACAGAGTCTTGTATGCGTAGAAAAACTCATGTTACTACGATGAACACATTATCTTGATATGAATCATGAAAGGAGAAGAATATGAAGACTTGAAACTTACTATGTCCTGTGAAACCAGACCAACATGCTGCCTCAAACTGTCCAGTTTGATATCCTTGATGTCATTTTTGTCAATAAAGATAGAGCCTATTACAGTAAAAATAGAAACTGTCCTTAAATGACAAACTCATTTGGTTCTAAACTTTGCGATCAAGAGAGAGACAAGATGTGCGCACCCGATGAAGGTTCGTAAAGGCGGAGAAGCAATTTGATCAGTGTTGTCTTTCCGCCTCCAGATGGCCCAACAAGCGCTATAGTCTCTCCTGCTTTAATATGAAGATTCAACCCATCCAAAACAGGAAGCATCTCTTCACCATATTTGAATGAAATCTCGCATAACTTAACCTCCCCTGCAACCTTTTCCAGTTGAATGGCATCAGCTCTCTCGATCACCTAGTTGTCAAGATGCAACCAAAGCACTTTGCATTCAGATTTTGAGATAGACAAAGAAAAGAAACCTCTTGTTGGGAGTATAAATTGAAGAGAAGCTCAGAGGTATCTTTTAATACTACCTTAGATTTTAAGGAGGTTAAATCAAACAAACGTTCTATCGCTGGCTCTCCTTGTTTCAATTCATTGTAAGCTTTTCCCAGATCCTGCATGATTCTTTAGATTCATAACCCCAATAAGACAGCTCCTCAAGGTAAAACTTTGAAATGCCACACTGACAAATTTATTTACCTGGACAGGCTCGATCAAGAAAGCTAATGACGTCATAAAGGACACAATCGCACCAGAGCTTAAAGAAGAGCCTGAAAGTGTCATCGCTCCAACACAAAACACCGACAATGATCCAAGATAAATAACTTGCACAATCTGAGGGATAAGTGACTTCATTTTCTTCTTCTTAAAACGTTCAGTTTGGTCAGCACGAGCAAACCTCTGAAACCTCACACTCTCCAAACTCTCTGCGTTATTAGCTTTCACAAACAAAATCGCAGGAAGGACCTAAATATTAAAAGCTCTGCTTTAGTAACTTTCCCGTTTATGAACAGAAAGAAGAGACAGTCTCAGAGAAGAACAGAGGAATCAGAAAAGAGCACCTCATTTAAGTAAGCAGAAAGTGAAGCAGAAGCAATCTGAGCCTTTCTTGATATCTTGCGAAGCCGGTCACCAAGATAAGCTATGACAAGCGCAACAGATGGTATCACCTAGAAACAAAACTTCAAAACCTCTGAACTAACGAAGAAAAACACGAAACAAATACAACATTTTTCACATAATCTTCACTCACCATTGCAGAGACTAATGTCAAAACAGGACTTGCAACCAACATATGCGTAGCCATTGCAGATATCTGGAATGCACTAGGCACAACTGTCTGCAATAAGTGTTAAGCTTATAGTCAGCAAAAACATTCATATAATAAGCGAAAAAGTGTTGATCTTTTTTCATTATACTAACGTTTAAAAGAGCATAGAAAGTATCAGCAACTTCAGAAGCTTCAGCTGTAATACGATACGCAATATCACCAGAAGAAATCCCATTCCCACCTTCGAAGAACTCTAACTCTCTCTCTAAAACTCTCTGATACGCAAAAACCCGAATCCGATAAACCGAATTGAAAGCAGCTTCCCAAAGAAACGCTTGCTGGAGATAACCAGCGACGACTCTAGCGAGAAACAAAGCAGCTAAAACGAGAGCCGCGTTTCTGAGCTTCATCGGACTCGCGGCGTTTGCGTTTAGATTCGATGTGAAGGATCCGATTCTAGGAATGATCTGAGAAAGCGAAACAACGGAGACCAAGCTGCAAACCCAACCGGCGAGGATGGTTCTAGATTCCGATTGGAGATAGGGTTTAACATTTTCGAAGGGTTTTAGCGAATCGACTGTTGTATTGGCTCGGATAAGGAAAACGGAGGGTTTACCAGACCTTAGAGATCTCGGCGACGGTTGGATTGGAAGTTTGAGAAAGAGAGATGAGCTCCGGCGGTGAAATGGCGGCGGAGGAAGGAGGAGACACTGCGTCGATGGGCGGAGGAGAAATGACATTTCTCTCCTCAAATAAAATGAAATCGAACCAAAATCGAATAACTTTAAAAGATTTTAATTTTGGGGGTGATAATTCTCCTTAACCGGAGATATTTTCAGTTAAAACTTTGGTTATAATTATCCCGAACTAAAAAAAAAACAAACCGAATCTAAACCGAAAACTGAATCCAGGTCCATAAATTTATGGATGTGCCTAAAAAGGCTATAAAAACCCAAAGGCCCTAATAAATCATAAGTATATATATCTTCATAGTTCATATTAAAAAAAACAAAATTACGAAGTTGATGGTCCATAAAATTTCGATTTTATTGATCTATTTTAACAAAATTTGATGTACAAATGAGTGATTATCCCAAGGGCTTGCATAATTATATATAGAACCATGAAATGGTTGCAGAATCCACCAAGTGTAATTGTTAAATCTACAAATCGACAGATTTTGAGAATTAGACTTTTTTAAAATTTTATTAAATATAGTTCCAATATTCCTAATTCATTTTGAATTTGTACCACTATAAAGTATGGAGGGTGAATAGCATAAAATTCATTCCAAAAC